CCTAACTCAATTTCGAAGAAATGATCGCAAAATACTGCGACGGTAAGCCCACATTTGAGTCGTTTGAAAAAATAACAAGGTAAAAAATAAATGTGTAATAAAATAAAAAAAATATTAATCTCAACTACTGTGGAGTGCCGACCACGCGAAACTGGGCTTACTGTCGCGTTATTTTGCGAGCATTTTTTCAAAATTGAGTTAGAATTTATATGCTAAGTAAGTATCTATAAGTGTTTTGTTGTTTGTGCCATTGCAGACGAAATTTAAAGTTCAAATTGTAATACATAATGAATATTATTGACATGGTATCATTGTCCGAAATGAAGTTCATGTTCGGACATTAACGACATGTACGACTGTGATGTCACGTAAAGAATCTTTATTAGGTATTATAATTTGAATGATAAAGTGCGGTTGCAATACCACAAACAATAGAACACATATAGTAGATACTTTCTTATCATCTGAATCCTAACTCAATTTCGAATAAATTATCGTAAAATAATGCGACGGTAAGCCCATTTTTGCGTTGTCGGCAGTCTACAGTAGTTTGAAAAAATAACAAGGTAAAAAATAAATGTGTAATAAGAAAATAAATGTGTAATAAAAAAAAACAAATAACTTTAATAATTTAACAGACATTGAATCCGAATTCAGAGGATGACCAAGTCCGTGACAGAGTTTTCTCGTTTGTGCTATAACAAGTTTATAAGAGATTTCAACACATAATACATAATGACGACTCATGGCGTGACGTCATTGGTGTCACTGATGTCAACGTTTTGATTCAATGATGAACTTATATAATATGTTTCGCAACAATCAGTAGCGATTATCCGGAAATTCAAATTCTTTTTCACGTGCAACGGGAATAACGATTTGTCTCTCCGGGTAATTGTTACTGGTTGTTGCTCAAACACATTATTGGAGTTCGACATTAAATCAAAAGTTTGACATCAATGACACCAATGATGCCACCTCATAAGGTTTTCATTATGTATTCTGTTTTGAATTCTCTTATAAACATGTTATGGCACAAACAAGAGAACTCTGTCAGGGACTTAGTCATCATCAGAGTTCTGAGTCAATGTCCGTTAACCACAAAATGAACTACGTGGACTTTGATTCCCTATATTAGGGATACGTAGGCACCTTAATTGACTATATCATCTGTCCTCGGATATTTATTAAATGTCAATTAAGCTCAAGTCCATATTTAAATGTCAATTACTTAGGAAACCTTTCATCGAACTTTGAAAACCTTACATAAGTTAATTTCTTAGTATGCTGGGGTTCATCAGCTTCATAATGCAATCCGACTGCAATACCCAGTCTCGAGTAATATCGCCATTTTTTTGTAGTGTCATAAAAAACACGTTATTTAATGGAATGTGTCCTTGTCATCATCTTTGTTGCACAAAATGTTTATACTATCACTACACAATTGCTGTGTGATGACAATATAAATATATTGTACGACAAAGATGATAACAAGGACAAGTTCCATTCATTAACTTGTTGTAGGACACTAGCAATAAAAACGACGGTATTACTCGAGGTTGTGTATTGCAGTCGAATTGTATTATGAGGCTGGTGAAACTCAACATACTGATAAACTAACTATTTTTGGACAAAGGCATCATCTTGTATCAAAGTTAAGTTTGACATCAGTGACACCGATTATGCCACGTCATAAGTTATTAAAAATTTCATAATAGTTACACACAAAAAGAACTACGTGGACTTTGATTCCCTATATTAGGGATACGTAGGCACCTTAATTGACTATATCATTTGTCCTCGGATGTTTATTAAATGTCAATTAAGCTCAAGTCCATATTTAAATGTCAATTACTTAGGAAACCTTTCATCGAACTTTGAAAACCTTACATAAGTTAATTTCTCAGTATGGTGGGGTTCATCAGCTTCATAATGCAATCCGACTCCAATACACAATCTCGAGTAATATCGTCATTTCTTTTGTAGTGTCATAAAAAACACGTTATTTAATGAAAGGTGTCCTTGTTATCATCTTTGTTGCACAAAATGTTTATACTATCACTACATAATTGTTGTGTGATGATGGTATAAATATATTGTACGACAAACATGATAACATGGACAAGTTCCATTCATTAACGTGCTGTAGGACACTAGCAAAAAAAACGACGGTATTACTGGAGGTTGTGTATTGCAGTCGGATTGTATTATGAGGCTGGTGAAACACATCATACTGATAAACAAACTATTTTTGGACAAAAGAATTATCTTGTATCAAAGTTTAAAAGTAGTTTCAAATCACAAAGAATAACACGAATGCTTAATCAGTTACGCTCGAATAAATAAAAAACTGGACATGAACGATGAAGCCACTAAAACTTTTTCAGTGCCGATGTCACTAGACGCTTTCAAAGAGGACGATAAGCTTATTTTGCAGGGCTTCAACCGCTGAAGCCCTACAATATAATCTTATCGTCCTTTTTGAAAACGTCTAGTGACATCGACACTGAAAAGTTTGAATGACTTCCTCATTCGTGTTCAAGTGTCCATTTATTCGCATGATAATCGATTTATCCATCATATTATTCTTTGTAATTCGATACTAATAAGCAAATCAGAAAACAATGTTCATTCCAATTTGTTCACAAATCACTGGAAGTTTGGAACTAATGAATAGGGGATGAAATTAATGTGAAGTGTTGACGACTCGAACGTGAGTTTAACATTACGTTATTTTGCAATCATTTTGTCGAACCTAAATAAAAATTAAGATGATAAGTACATATATATATGAGAATTATATTGTTTGTGCTATCGCAGATGTTTATACTTCAAATTATAATACATAATGAAGAATATTGACAAAATATCATTGTCCGAAATGAAGTTGATGTTGAAACATTAACGACATGTACGACTGTGATGTGATGTCAATAGTCTTTGTTATGTATTATGATTTGAAATATAAATTACGTCTACGATAGCACAAACAATAGAACTCTTATATATATATGTACTTATCATCTTAATTTTTGTTTAGGTTCGACAAAATGTTAGCAAAATAACGTAATGTTAAACTCACGTTCGAGTCGTCAACACTTCACATTAATTTCATCCCCCTATTCATTAGTTCCAAACTTTCAGTTATTTGTGAACAAATTCATAACCACATGTCTAAAAAATAAATACAAGTAATACGAGACGTATTGTACAAGAACTACGTTCACTTTCATTCACAATAAAAAAATGAACATGTATTTAATATACATAAAAAAATGAACATGTATTTTACATATATATATAAATTTATACTAAAAAAAAAGAAAAAAAGACAAAAAAAACCGAAATCGGCGGGTCTGACCCGAACCCGGCAAAAAACCGGCAGTTTTCAGACCCGCCGGTACAGGGCCGGTTCATCGAACCGGTCCTTAGTTCCAATCGGGCAGGTCCCGGTTCGCCCATTCCAGGACCGGTGGCCCGCCGGGCCGGGCCGGAACCCGGCACCTGGCCATGTCTAATTGTTGGAACACAAACAAGCAATATAGAGTATGTGATTATCACATGATTAACTTAAACTTCCACTCGAATTCGGTCCTATTGTTGGAAGATGAACAAGCAATGTGGTATATCCTTGTTGAAGTAGACACAATCACATAGAACAAATATAAAAAAAGCCCACAAGTTCTTGCTCTGTCCATCTACACAAAGGAACTGGGGCTCTTTCATCTCTCACAAACACAACTAACACATTCATTCACCAGTCACCACCTTTCAAC